TAGTTGTAGGAACTTGGGGGAGCCTCTGGCGATCAGGGCCATTTAGATTACTAGCTGCTGCCCGTCCTGGTTGTAGGAGCTTGAGTGGCCTGGCCCAGCAGATGACACAGTTCACCAGCCTGTTAATCCCTTCTGATTTCCAGTTCTCTGTGTGGAAGGACAGACCTTACATCATTCCCATTGGAAAGACAATCCTGTCTTTTATTGCTTACCATTCCTGGTATCCCTGGAGATCTGCGGGCTTAAGGACCTTTATGCTATGCTCCCAACATTGTTAACTGACATAAGACTGCTGGAAATTGAGCTCAGATCCTCTGGAACAACAGTCAGTGTTCTTCATTGCTGAGCCATTTTTCCAGCCTGTTTCTGTAGCTTTTTAAAACTTTATTTCTTATAATTTTATGTGTATGTGCATGAGTGTATTTATGTGCACTGCAAGCATGTAGGTGCTCTTGGAGGCCAGAAGAGGACATTGGGTGTCCTGGAACTACAGGGGTTGTGTGCAGCCATTTTGGGTACTGGGAATCAAACTGGTTCTCTGCAAGAGCAACAAATGCCTTTAACCACTGAACCATCTCTCCATCTTTGTGATCCTTTGTTAAAATACTCTGCCAGAAAACTAGTACAATATCACTTTCAGCAAGGTGGCAGGATGCAGGAAAAATGAGTCATTTTTCTGTATTACAGTAATGATCACACTAAGAATGAAACCTGGAAGCCAAGCATGGTGGTGCATGCTAAAGCATGATTAATAAAAACTCAGAGAAATTGGGGTTAAACCTGAAGATCAAAAAAGAAAAACAGCCACTGGCTCTTACCTTGACCTAAGTCTGAAATGGCGATCCTGCCTCCAGGAATCTCAGAATGAGACTGTGTCTGAGAGCTGTTTCCTCCAGTTTTATAATCCTCTCTAGGTCTGAGATTAAAGGCATGCACCACCCAATTTCTATGGCAAACTAGTGTGGCTACTGGGATTAAAGGTGTATGATACCATAACCTGGTCTGTAAGGTTGACCAATGGGGCTGTTTTACTCTCTGATCTTCAGACAAGTTTTATTTATTAAAATAAAAATGAAATGCCACCACAGCATGCCTTAATCCCAACACTCAGGAAGCAGTGGCAGGTGGATATCTGCGTTTGAGGCCTAGACTACAGAGCACGTTCCAGCACAACTAGGACTACATAGAGAAACTGTCTCAATAAACCAAATAAATAAGTAAATAGAAAGAAACCTGGAAAACAATCCCTCATGAGTTTTACGCAGTTAAGAACAAAATGTATCAAGGACAACCAGCCTCTAAAAGAAGGAAGGACTTCTACACTGAAGTTTTAAAACTTAGAGAAAGAAGTAAAAGAAAGTACCAGAAGTACTTGGTGTCGAGGGTCAGCCGAGTTCATGTGGAAGTGCTCTGCCACCACTGACCACTGCGCTAAGGGGAGTAAGCCAAGCTCTCAAATGCAGAGTCTGGACTTAGAAGTAAAAACTAGTGGGTGTGGAGATGGCTCCCCAGTCCCCTCCTCCGGCAAAGGACCAGCCTGACAGCTTGAGTTTGGCCCACACAGTGGGAGAAGAATAGGAGAAGACTGACTTCTGAAGATTTCTTCTACCTCCCTATTGGTGCTGTGTTTCATGTACACACACACCACAAGCGTGTGTACATATTCATATGTATTCGCACATACATAGCATAGTTGTATACCTTAAATAAACATAGTTTTAAAATGAAGCAAAGATGAAAAGGCGTGGGGGAAGGAAGATCCCTTCTACGGGAAGAAACACTTCTCTTGGAGTGAGGGAAGACAACACCTTGTGATTCAGACACCACGAGGAAAGCCTTCTAATTGTTTCTTGGGAACTTGGTATCTAGGAAGAAATTGAATGGTGTTGTCTTTTGTATTCTTCCTTGTTTGCCCAGTTATCCCAGTGAAGGTCATGAGTAGAGAAGGGAAGCTGATGTGTGCACTGCAGTTCCTGTTAGAGGGTGGTGGGTGCAGTGGGGGAAGAGTGGGCAGGAAGTTTCCATCTCCCACTTGTCCCGTCCACTAGCCTGGCCGCTGACCTCGCTCTCTGCACCTGCTGTCTGCAGCGTTCTGCAGACTCATGCTCCTGAGGAACAGCGCTCAGTGGTGATCACACATTCACACACAGGCACGCACACACGCACACCCGCAAAGCTTGGTAAATGGGAAGTGAGTTCCCGTTAGAGAATGAAATGCACTGGCGCCCTTTAAGAAGCAGGGGTTGGTGCATTTGAAATGTAATTCAGTCTGTCTGCATATGAGGCACGTATTATTTTTTTTTTAGACATAACATTCCTGTTATGTGCAATGATTGCCTGATTAATTCGGATTGCTGGTGTAATTGTCAGAAAGTGGCTTATAGTTTCTTAAATGGTGATGTAAGTTTTTAAGCTGTTTTTGTAACCTATATTTGAAACCTTTCCAGGATTTTAGAATATCAGCGATCTGAAAGTGTATGAACCATCCCCTTTTAGAAATAGAACAGAGCAGTTGTTCAGTGTGCTCAAGGGGAAGGTTCTGCTGTGTTGTTGGTGCTGGCTTTCAGTTCCAGGACGTCATCTTTCCTCAGGACCTCATCTACATATTTGCCAATGTTTAGAATGTCATGTATCCATATAAATACACCCTTTCAGCTCTGGTGCGGTATTCACAGTGTGGATGTATCGAGGCTTCACAGTCGTCTTGACCACTGACTCTTAGCCTCTACTTAGTGTTGATGAGAGTGGTTGCCTCTGGTACCTCAAACGTCATGCTGATAGACACAGAGTTTTCTCTCTATTTCTGTGTTGGGTGAGAGTTCATCTTTCTTCTTTCTTTTTTTCTGATGAAAATCAGCCGATTGTTTGATGTCTGATTCATGAACCATCTCTTAGCTTTGAAAATCCCCCAATTTGTTCTTGGTCCTTTCTTTGTGTTGTCTAGCTAGATTGTTATGTGCCCTGTCACAGGGTCCACTATGTAACCTAGGCTGATCTGTTATCTACTACTTTGCCCCTGATTACTGGGATTTTAGGTGTGCCACGGACCTATCTTCTCTCTCCCTGAGTGCTGGGATTACAGGTATATGCTAGGTTACCTGTTTCCTCTCTCCTTGAGTTCTGGGATTACAGGTCTATGCCAGGGTACCTGTCTCCTGTCTCTCTTCATGGTCTAGTGGAAGGAACACTTGCAACAATGTTTGAAGTGACAGAGATTGTTAATTGAATTGGAGTATGTTGGTGGGAGCAGTTTGTGACTCAGCCACAGTTGCATGCTGCATTCCCTCAGACACATGCTCGTCTGAGTATTAACTCACTGCCTGCAGCTGGTAAGGAGCCACAGGCATCAGGTGTAACTTGTTCTTTTAATTTCAGAAAATGTTTGAAATATAGGCTTATCAGGAAAACATTTAAGTTTTTCATTTTAAACACCAAGTATGTTTTCGTTGACATCTGTGAGAGCTGCTACAAGGAAAATTACTGCGAATTACACATACATGTAGGCTGTATTAACAATGCCCGTCTTCAGATTGTGTGGTAGAGAGTCACAGATAAACTCAGACTGCTGTGGGTGGGGCAGGTTTCCCAGGACTCGCTGCACTCTGCACGCTTGTGCTGGGAGAATTTCTCCTGTGCTTCATCACACAGTGCGTGCTTCTATTGTCTAGCCAGTTAGGACCTGCCAGAGGACGCCATGACTGAGTAAGGCACACCCAGACTTTCATTGCTACCTCGAGAATGAATGTACCCTGCTTTAGCTTCCCAGGCTGCCTTTGTCCAGGATCCAGTGAGGTGCCCTGCAGACCGGAGTCCTGCCCTTTCCTCTTGACTGCCCCTTAGCCTCCTTCCCCACTTTCTTTTAAAATTTTTATCAGGCTTTATTATAGATTATGGTAAATCAGGTTTGTTAGACTCTGTCCTGAGATCTTGGCTCTATAACATTATTTCCACACCCTGTTTTCATCCTCAGGTCAGCTATGTGATTCCCCAATGCTAGGGTGATTTATTCCTGGATTTCCCAAAATTAATTATGCACTCCTCTGAGTGCATAGCATATTATTGCTATCTCAGTTCCTGGGCCTTTTAGTTTCTATACTTTGTCTGCTTGAGGTTGAAGGAGAAATGTTTCTATCACGATTCTGGTATTTCCATCTTTATCATCTTCCATATGTGATGTGTGGTTTTTGCCTTTCTCCCCCCCTTTTTTTTAGAATTCCCTGACTTCTTCCTCTGTCTTAAACTTCTTGTGGTTTTTGTATGTAACAGATGAGTGTGGTAGTTGAACACCCAGTTTGGTTTGTGATCTCTGAGTTTAACCTCAGCTTTACTCAGTATCCTTGAACCTAACCACTGTGATGTTTGGCCTTTGTGTGGGAATAGTCGCTGCAAATAACAGCAGTGTTCCACACTGCCCCCTGCAGGTGTGGTGAAGGCTGTGAGTGCAGGTAGCAATCTTAAGCTGGAAGACAGCCCAGGGGCGCTTACTCCTTGCAGGACTTTTGTTTCCTTCCACCTTGGTATTTTCTGTAAGTTCTGACCTGTTGTCAATGCTGAGTGAAGTCTGTTCAGGTTAAGTAGCTGTCCTGGAGGTGAGAGATAGTATTCATAGTCACTTAGAGTGTCTCTCCTGAGTTGATGGATTATAATACTGTCTGGCCACTTGTTTCTGCCCAAGTGATGCTACTTGGTTTGGCTTATGAACCCGCGGTTGACTCTAGCTGCTCTATAGTCAGCAGTGATTCCCAGTCCTTCTGATTTATAAGGTGCCCTCCCTAGAAAGACCAGGTCCCATTGATAGGCTAGAACATGTTTATAAGAGATCACTGGTTGGGCTGGGAGCAGATAAAGCATCAGTGAGCTCCAGTCTGGCTGCATGGGTGTTTGTGCTTCACCGTGGATGCCGGGTTCCTAACAGGCTTTCTGCTGCAGAGTGTCAAGCTTCTCTATAGAAGTGGTTGCTAAGAGGTAAGCATTGTTAATGTTTTTTCTCTTCTCCAAAGTTTGGGAGCCTCTGGTGGAGCAAGTAACTGGGATTCGTATAGTGATCATTTCACCATTGAAACCTGCAAGGAGACAGACATGCTGAACTACCTCATCGAGTGTTTTGACCGAGTTGGAATAGAGGAAAAAAAAGCACCAAAGGTACTGTGAAGTGGATTGGCCAGAAAGAAAGCAAATTGGCTATCTTATGTATGTGCTTGTCGCTGCTCCAGGAGAAGCTGGTCATCGATTAGTCAGGAGTGATGGAGCAGCTGGTAGGTACCAGGCAATATAGTGGCAGCTCAGGATCTGTCTGTAACACATTGCTGTGGAGAGGTGATGCCAGAGCTCAGACATGAGCCTACGTGCCTTGGCTCTGGAGCCTGTCCTTCATCTGCCCTGTGTCATGCATGGTCAGGAAGCTCACAGGAGGAAAGGTGCAGTGTGCTCACAGACATCTAAATCCATAATCAGCTGAGGCCTTGTTTCTGGGATGTGGTGAACGTCATGGTAGACAAGTGTGGTACAGCCATGTTGCTGTTATCATGGTGGCCAGGAAGCAAAGAAAAGCAGGAAGAGCCCCATGATGAGCTGTATCACTCAGTAACACTCTGACCTACGTCCCTTTATGAGGCCTTACCTACCAGTTCTGCTGTATCATCAGTCAGCACATTGCTGAAGCTAGAGCTACAGCCCTGGTGATCTCCTGACCCCTCTAATTCTCATCAGTGGGCTACCAGTCCTGTAACGTGCCAGCCTTCAGGGGACATGCTTATCTTGAAACCAAAGTACCACTTGCCTGATATAATTCAGAAAACAGCCAAAGCAATGCTGTGGATTGCAGGACCTGTAATCAGTCCATGAGCTTAGATTTCCACAGTTGCCCAGTAAATGCGAGCAGCCATGTAAGAGTGAGAGCTGCCCCTCAGAGATGGAGCTGTAATTATCAGAATTATTAAATAACAAGCTGTAGGAGCACACTAAACCACGGAAGCATTACCCTCCCCCAGCCCCTTATCTTGAGATAGAGTCTCACTATGTAGCCCTGGCAGGCCTTGAACTCACAGAGATCCACTTGCCTCTGGCACCTGGGATCAGCAGCACGTGCCGCCACACCCGGCCCATCTCATTCTCTACCATTTCACTATTTAGCTTTGCTGTGTTAGTTTTAAATTTGTGGGGTCTCTGCAGGGATTGTTGTCCTTCGTCCTAGCAAAAGCAAAGAAATGCCAGGTAGAAGTGGTGGTGCACACTTTTCAGTTCTGCACTCTGGGAGCCTGGGGCAGGAGCATTGCTGTGAGTTTGAAACCAAACTGGGCTATTGTGTGAAAGACCCTGCCTCAAAGTATGATATAAACCCCCTCCCCCGAAAAGAAAATAGCTTGGGTGTACCCCCCCATTTCTGCTCCGTGTTCCCTTACTACCTCAGTACAGGTGGCACAGGTCAGTGGCACACTTCCTGTGGTTTGTCCATTCTGAGCCTAGGGAGAGGAAAGCGGGGCATTTTCTAGCCATTGCTCTCCTCCAGCCCTTTTCAGGGTTGTCATCCTGACTCTGACTTTCTCTTCCAGATGTGCAGCCAGCCAGCAGTCAGCCAGCTTCTGAGCAACATCCGCTCGCAGTGCATCTCCCACACCGCGCTAGTGCTACAAGGTTCCCTCACACAGCCCAGGTATGACTGACTCGCACGTTGCTTGTTTCTGGTGTTCGGAGGGAGGGCCACCTCTCACTGGATTCCGTCTTTCAACTGTTTTATGCTAGGCTAGATAACTCTGTGATCTGTACAGGGAATGGGTTTGATTCAGTCTTCAAAACTCAGACTGGAGAGACTGAACTATGGTTAAGTTCAAACAATGGCTGCTCTTGCTGAATGAAGTCTTGAGTTCGATTCCCAGCATATACTTGGTGGGTGATAGTATCTATAATCCCAGTTCCAGGATATCTGATTCCCTCTTCTGGCCTCTGAGGACACTGTATACATGTGGTGTAATATATAGACATACATATAGGACAGACACTCACACATAAGATAAAAATAGATCCATCTAAGGCCTGAGTCTTTCCACCCTGAATACCATGGAAATAAAAGAATGTTTTCATCTTCTAAATAGTATAGAGCATATTTTTGAAAAATTTTAAGAGTTCTGTGTACCTTTTGAAATATGTAGAGCCAAGGCAGAGTATTAATAATTTGATTTAAAACCTAGTGTTTGAAGTTAGTGTGTGTGTGTGTGTGTGTGTGTGACAAAATGATTGTGTTCCATGTGTCTCCACATTGGTTTCTATTACTAGGTGTTAGAGAATAGTGGGGGGAACCAGGTGAGGGGACACATACCTATATTCCTAGCAAGAAGCAGAGGCAAGAGGATCGCCACCAATTCAAGGCCAGTCTGGCCTATGCAGTAAGTTCTAGGCCAGCCTGGATTTAATGGTGAGACCCTTCATAAAAACAAGATAAAAATAAAGTACAGTAGTGGGGAAATGATTTGGAAATTGGTCAAAGTTTTGTGATTTGCCTGTTTCAGAAAATTCTGTATCGCTTTCAACATTAGTAAAAGAATGCATTTTAAAAATTTTTTATTTTACGTGTATTATCTGCTTGTATATCTGTGTACCATGTGCACGCCCGGTGGCCACAGATGCCAGAAGAAGCCACTGGATCCTTCTGGATCTGGAGTTAGAGACAGTTGTTAGCCTCCACGTGGGCACTGGATATTGAACCCAGGTCCTTTGGAAGAACAGCTGGTATTCTTTAAGTACTGACATCAATCCCTCTAGTCCTGCATTTGCTGTTTTTTATGCCAAAATACCTAAAGGAAAAATGGGAAAATGCATTTTTCCTTTCTGTCTATTCCCTGTAGTATAACTGTGTTTTGTATTCTTTTCAAATGAAGGAAAATTAAGTTGTATGATGCCACATATCTATACTTCCAGAATTTGGGAGGTTTAGGTTGAGCATTGCTTGAAGTCTATTGGACTCCATAGTGATTCCTTGTCTTTAAAAAGCAAGTAACATGCTGGGCAGTGGTGTCACACGCCTTTAACCCCAGCACTTGGGAGACAGAGGCAGGCGGATCTCTGTGAGTTTGAGGCCAGCCTGGTCTATAGAGTGAGTTCTAGTACAGCTAGAACTGTTACACGGTGAAGCCTTGTCTCAAAAAACTAACAAAAATAAACCAAACAGAAAAACAAGTAACAGTGGGACTGGAGAAATGGCTCAGCGATTAAGAGCACTGGCTGTTCTTCCAGAGGTCCTGAGTTCAATTCCCAGCAACCACATGGTGGCTCATGACCACCTATAATGAGATTTGGTGCCCTCTTCTGGCCTACTGGCAGGATATATATATATATATATATGTATATATATATATATATATATCTTTTTTAAAAAGTTTAAAAAAAACAAGTAAAAAAAAAAAAGAAAAAGTGTTTGATTACTAATCTTTTCCTCAGTGTGGATGAGGCATAAACAAATAAATGAACAATAATTCTTTTTCATTGTTTAAAGGAGTTTTAGGTTCACTGTGTGTATGAGCATTTTGCTTGTGTGTGTGTGTGTGTGTGTGTGTGTGTGTGTGTGTGTGTGTGCATTGGATCTCCTGGAACTGGAGTTAGAAGCAGTTGTGAGCCACCACATGGGTGCTGGAAACCAAACAGACCCTCTACCAGAGCTCTTAAGTACTGAGCCATCTCTCTCGTTCCTGTAATTCATTTTAGGTGCATTTATTATTTATTTTCCGTTGCCAAGGATCTGACCTGGGGCTTCGCACATGCTAGTAAAGTCCCTTGTCACTGAAGTTTCAGCCCTGACTCTTCACTTTGATAGGACTCCACAAAGAAAGAGTTGCTTGTGTAATTTCTTCTGGTGTCCCATTTATAATTCCAGACATCACCAGGGTTGGAAAAGGTCATGCTTTGAATTTTGAATATCTGGTAGGTTGTATGTTTGCGTGACTGGGTAGGCTGTGTGGCCATGGTGTTCCATGTGCTTCCATCACAGCCCTTGCTTCTCCTGGGTTTGCAGGTCCTTGCAGCAGCCGTCCTTCCTTGTGCCGTACATGCTGTGCAGAAACCTCCCGTATGGCTTCATTCAGGAGCTGGTGAGGACCACTCACCAGGATGAAGAGGTGTTCAAGCAGGTAAGTGGGCCAGTGGGCACTTCACCTCTTAGCTACGTGCATCTGCGCTGATGTCAGGTATATCGTGTCATGGAGTAGGGGAGGGACTCATGCAGCTCCACCCCTCCCCTGCAGTTAGTGGTGGCTGGGGGATGGGATGAAAAGATACTTTCTTGAGTGATATAGCCACTGATAAAGGTGCCCATTCTCCTATGGACAGCTGATCCCCTGTGTTTCGTCAGGTAGCCCTAAGTAAACTTATTGGGTCAGAAGAAGAAAGTGTGTGTGGTGGGGGGCTTGAAAATAAAGAAGGGACTGGTTAAGAGGCACTAATGGGAAGGAGACATGGGAGTGTAATGCGGTGAATACGATAAAAGTTTCATATTAAAATTCCATAAAAGAGCCATACATAATTAATATATGCTAAAAAGGAAACAAATAAGAACATCAAATGTGGGAAATGCCTCTGCCCAGATTTCACTGTGTATGTTATTGGTTGGCACGAATTCCTTGACTTTGTTTTATAGCTAGTGTATTCATAAGTCTTGATTTTAAGATCTTTGAATTCTTAAATATTTGTAAAAGCATAATCCAGGTCACATCAGGTATGATGGTGAATGCCTTTAATCCCAGCACTCACCAGTCAGAACCTGCTAAATCTCCATGAATTAGAAACCAGCCTGGTCTACATAGTAAGTTCCAAGCCAGCCAGGGCTACAATAGTGAGACTTCATCTGAATGGGGGATGAGGATGGGAGGAAGAACAATTCAGGACTCCAGAAGGAAAGTTGTGTTTCAGGGTATGCCCTCTCTGATGTTGGTTAACTGTGGCCTTTACTGATGTCTGTGGGCATGCAGAAACAATAAAGTGGCATCATGAAATCTTTCTCCTTAGGGAGATAAGTGAATTCCAGTGGACAAAAAGATTGTCTCAGGAGGTTTAAATGAAGCAGCCTTTAAGTGTGGTCAGCATTAATGAATACTTTTTCTTTTCCATAAAAGCAACCATTTGAAGAACCCAGAGTAGTTTTAAAATCAGGCCCAAAATCACCTGAAAGGGACATGTTATGCTTATGTTATTGATAAACTTATGCAGAGACCACAGAGTGACCTTTGGTTTTGTAAAGGCGGTGACCTGAACTCAGTGGCAGTTGACAGTACAGCTAGCTCGGTCTCCGTGGCTCCAGGTAGCTGGCGTGAATGCCGATGTCCTTCCCATGTTACCTTGAGTTTATGTGGAGAGAAGCCCTGCAGAAACAGAGCTGCTGACTGCATCGGGCCACGTCCTCCCTTCTTGCCTAATAGTTTGGCAGATGTGATTTGCTGAGTCCTCTTTCGGCCTTCCACGTTTCTTTTAATATTGGGTGGTGCTTTCTGCGAGTGTAAGACTGAGGACGCACAGCTGAGATGCACTACGAGGCGCTCACTTGGAAAGTAACAGCGCTTTGCAGGGTCATGGTCACAAATATAATGCGGCACCCAGCTACGACTGCCTCCATGGGCAAATGTGCTTGCTGTGTAGGCCGGATGCCCTAGAGTCGGTCCCCGAACACACAGTAGAGGGGTAGTACTGACTCCCAAAAATTGCCCTGTGACCTCCACGTTTAGTACATACCCACTTACACACATTATACAAACACAGTAAGATACATTGAAACAATACAATCCTTGATGTATTTTGGGAAACATTTTATGCTTATTCTTATTTTGCTTGTTGATTATCGAATAAGCTCTTAGCTGCACAAGGGGATACTCTACTAAAAAAAGTAAAGTTAAACTATTTCTTAAAGCATATCTAAAGATTTTTCAGATGGACAGTTAATGGCATTTATCTGTGTGATTCTAGAGCTTGTTTTGCCTTTTCCTCTTGGAGGCAGTTTTGGCATCTCCTGCCCCCGCACTTACTGTTACTCCCCGTTTTGAGCTAGCTTACAAAGGCACATTACTTCTACCCTGATACCCCAGTTACGGAAACCACGGTGATCTCTCCCAGAGCCGCGTTTTGATTGCGCAAAATGCTCCGCAGGCATGTGTGATCTAGGGCACTGTTTTTGGTCCCGTGTCTTCTCTTCTGCTGAAAGTTCTCTGTGTTGGGATGAGCTCTGTGTCTTAAGGGGTGGGTCCAGATTTTCTAGTGGCTTCACATAAACTCCCTTTCCAGCTCGTGGTGCAGATTGCCAGCCGCTGTGCTCATTCATTTTCCCATTGATGTTGTTAGTCTTGGGTTTTAGCGCACTCCTATTGTGTGACTCAGTGACAGGGGACTGTGAAGTTTGAAGGTGGGCAGTGCTGAGCAGGGCTTGCACACTGTTACCATATCGTGCCAGCCTTGTATGTTTCTGTGCCCTTCAGTTTCCAGATCAGGTGACTATACTAATTACACTATGTATGCAGGTAAGGCATTGTTCGTCATTTATTTTTCAGTTTGAACATTCATCAACTGTCTCCTTGCTCTCGGTTAAGCTGAATATAACAAACAGAACAAAACTGGTTTTGAAGTGTAGATGGATTTGAGGAGAAGGTGGAACACTTGGGTACTTTTCCTACAGATCATAGGTGTGTGTTAATCAGTAACTTGGGGAGGAGGGAGGATGCTGGTGAGGCAGGCATCCGCAGTGCAGCAGGGACCCCTCACAGTTAGCTGTGCTGGCTGTTGTTGGATGTGAGAGCATCCCGCTGGAGTGTTCGTGCACATCAGCATCCTTTTCTGGAGAACCCAGCTCCTGTACTCTGTGGTGAGTTTGAGTGACAGGTTAGCACTCAAGAATTCGGCAATCCTTTATATGGAAGAAAGGAAAAAAGTTTTCTCCTGGGGGAGGCGCAGGAATGCCTGGCCCCGTGGCCCCAGTACCTTGTCCGACATGCTTTGTTTGCCTTCAGCCTAATGTTTGTGCCTTTCCTTCTTACAGATCTTTATCCCTGTTTTACAAGGCCTGGCTCTGGCTGCCAAGGAGTGCTCTCTCGACAGTGACTACTTCAAATACCCCCTCATGGTAAAAGACACTTTCTCTTAGATCTCTGTTCAGTCTAGTTTTCAAATGTTTTAGTTTTGAGACAAGTCTCATATCTTCAGACTGAAGATAACTTGATTCTGGTCCCACCACCTCCACCTGTCATGCACTGCAATGCTGGCTGTAGATTAATCCCGCATTCACATGTAAAGCCTGAGAACCCAGTGTGGCTGGACGGAATGTGACTGTGTGCTGAGCTGTCTGGGCACAATGCAGCCATCTGCACTCCACCCCTGCCTGTCCCAGAAGGCAGTAAGTGTGCAATGTCACTGTTGGGGGCAATTTGCTGATTTTCAGAACAGCAAACAAACTATACTTGGGATTTCAAAGAGAAACCCTTAAGAGTCTGACTCATCTTAAAATGCTTGCTGTGCAAGCCTAAACCCATGTACGGATGAGGGAGAGTACAGCTCTGTAAGGTCTCCTCTGTCCAGCACATACATGCTGTATCTCCACACACACAGTAAAAATAGATGGAAAAATAGCATCAGCAAACTGGGGCTGGAGAGGTGGCTCAGCAGTTATGAGTGTTTGCCCCTCTTCTATGGAACCTGTGCTTGGTTTGCAAAACTGCCTGTAACTCCAGCCTCATGAACTTTGTCCTCTTCTGGCCTACACAAGTACCTACACTTAGGAAGCATATGCACATGTGCACATAAATGAAAGTAAACTTTTTTAAAAATCCCCAATGAATGAAACCATTTTAATATCTTCCTATGTAGCCCAGGCTAGCCCTGTACTCATGAACCTACTTCTGCTTCCTAAGTGCTTGGCTTACAGTTGTGTGTACTTGTGCCCAGCTGGGGGAAAATCTTGGTTACTGAGCCAGAGCTAGCTCAGCAGGCTAAAATATTTTCCACATGAGCCTGTGACCTGAGTTTGCTTTCTGTGGCTGCACATAAAAAGCCGGATATGGGGGCTTGTAACTGTAGTCCCAGTACATCTCACAGAAGGTCAGAGGTGGACACAGGATAATTGGCCAGAAGCTCATGGGCCGACCAGCTTGGAATAAAAGCATCGTGACAGAAACCAGAGGTTCTGACCCTAAAAAGGTGGAAGACAATAACCAACTCCTGAAAGTTTTATTCTGACTTCCCAACATGACTGTGGCATGTGTGTGCCCACTCGCATACACACATATGCGCACATACTCACCTAAGTGAATATGTTAACCTATGAATAGAACCTGGGGAGATGACTTAGTAGTCAGAGTGCTTGCCTGAAAAGCAGGAAGCCTGAACCCACATAAATCTGGGTGTGTCGAGTGCCCTGCTTGTCATTCTAGCCTTAGAAGGTGAAGCTGGAGGATCTCTCGATCAGGCCAGCTAGAGAAACTAGCCATTGTTACTGACCTGGGAGTCTGATGGAGAGACTCTGCCTCAGTGAGAATAAGCTGGAAGATTCCCAGCATCACTCTTGTTCCTCCACCCACGTGAACACACATGTGCATCCTTGCAAACACCCATCCCTACCTCACCCACACAGAAACAGATTACTAGGGGTAAGGTCAAAGGGCACTGTTCTACCCTGTGAAGTAATGCAGTTTATCTCTGTGTACTGGGCAAAGTGAATCTTTGAAGCCATGCATCTCATCTGTGGTCTTTTCTTCAAAACAGTTGTGCCTGTGATGCTCAAATAAGCAGAAGTTATGGACAGAATCTTTAGCTAGATTTCCACTGGGGATGTAACTGTTGTAAGCCACTGCTGTGCTTGTGAGAGCCATGGTGGTGCCACCTTTAATGCCAGCACTCAGGAGGCGGAGGCAGGCAGATCTCAGAGTTCCAAGGCAGCCTGGTCTACATAGTGAGTTCCAGAACAACCAGAGCTCTGTAGAGAGACCCTATCTCAAAAAATTTAAAAAACAAACAAGAGACTCTTTTGTTTAGAATTTGCTTCTTTGGAGTTTTGGGAGACATGCTTTCAGGTATTCCTTTTTGTTACAGGATTGTGATAGAAAACCCACCAAGCCATGAAACTCAGTTACTCTATGTATATTTACAACTTTGTATAAATTGATCATAGAAAAATTGATACTTTGTTCCTTGTACTCACTCTATTGATTTGATTCTATTATGCCATTGACACCTTGGCATCTGGTACCAGATCACAGAGCTCAGGAAACAAGCTCTCTTCCCTTAGAGCCATGCTTCTCATCCTCTCCAATGCAGAGACCCAGTGGTCCTCAGCCCTCCTGACGCTGAGACCTTTAACCCAGTGGTCCTCAGCCCTCCTGATGGTGAGACCTTTAACACAGTGATCCTTAGCCCTCTTGACGCTGAGACCCAGTGATCCTCAGCCCTCCTGACACCGAGACCCTTTAACCTAGTGGTCCTCAACCTTCCTGATACCACGACACATTAACATAGTTCCTTATGTTGTGCTGACCCCCCAACTGTGAAACTATTTTTGTTACTACTTAACTAATTTTGCTACTGTTAAGAATCATCCTGTAAATATCTGTGTTTTCCAATGGTCTTAGGTGAAAAGGGCTCATGGCCCACAGGTTGAGAACTGCTGCTTTGGGCTGTTAATAATTCATGGTAAAAGTTATATCATAACAAAATATCTTGAGAGTTATATACTGTGATAAATGCTCACAAAGGTGACAGAAGGTTGACTTAGTCAGAACTGTCGCAGCATTAGCAGGGTGAAAGTCCTCAATGAATGAGAGTGTGAGGCCTGGCCACGTCTGGCAGCTCACATAAGCCCAGCCGTTGAAAATCTGAAGCAAGAAAGCTAATCGTGAATTAAAGACCGGATCAGCTACTCTGTGAATTCTAGGCCAGCCTAAGCTACAGAGTGAGCCAGGTCTGTTAAAGCAGGAGGATCAGGAGCTCAAGGTCATCCACCTCTACTAGCTTGTGTGAACCTAGTTGTGAGATTACCCTGGGTGGAGGGAAGCATGTAAAGAAAGAAGTTAGATCCTGGTGTTCTGTAGTTCTGCACTCAAGAGGCTGGGTTGGGAGAACCAGCCTGAAATTCACGGTGAGTTCCAGATAAGCCTGGGCTGCATAGTAAGATCCTGTCTCAAAAACCAATAAGCAACAACAAAAACCACCAAGAAAGTAGGTAAATAAAAATGCAGATCTTGTTTCTGAGACTGTGTTGGAGTCATGTACCTCGGGTTTCCTATAAACTGTATGGGGGCTGGAGAGATGGCTCAGCGGTTAAGAGCATTGCCTGCTCTTCCAAAGGACCCGAGTTCAATTCCCAGCAACCACATGGTGGCTCACAACCATCTGTAATGGGATCTGATGCCCTCTTCTGGCCTGCAGGCATACATGCAGACAGAATATTGTATACATAATAATAATAATAGTAAAGAATGGTGTGAGCCATTCCTTTCTCTCTCTCTTAAAAAAAATAAACAAAAATAAACTGTATGGCGAGGGATGAAAGGGTGTGGGACTGTCACTGTTGTTTCAGCTGAGGTTTTCAGTCGGTGCTGCCTGTACCGTCACTATCGTGTAGACGCTCCTTTGGGACTGCTGACTTCACTGCCCCTGGGTTAGTTTAGTGTTCCAGTGAAGAGAGTGTGGTGACATATCAACAAAATGTCCTCAGTGAACGACAGAAGCATCCTTTTTGGTAGTCAGTGGTTTAATTGGGACCTGCTGTTGATAACAGCACAATAACAAGGGTGCATCTAAAGGGCAGAGAGGAAAGTGAGGCGGGGATGGGAAATAGGCGGGAAGAGGAAGGCTGCTGGGGCTCGCGCAGACATAGCTGGATTATTGGTGGATTATTCCTTTGTTCTATGCACTTAGGAGGTTGGGGGACATAGCAAAGTCTCATCTGAAAGAAGCACACACACACACACACAATAACAGAAGCAACAATAAATGATGATGATGTCATCTGGCTGCCAACCTCCAGAGTTTGTCTTCCCTTGTGGATGGTGTGCTGCCTGGTGGTGACATTGCCTCAGGCTTTCCCTGTGGTGTTAGTAGGGTATCCTACGCTGTACAGTGAGAACTTGCACGCCTCAACAGTTCTCTGTATCAGTGATGTCACTGTGTCTGTTCATGCTTGATGGCTGGTAGGCAGCTTCTGTCTAAGTCACGGAGAAATTAATTTCATATTCGTGTGACTTGATGGACTTCGGCTAAACTGTGGCCATGACTGTGTGGTATAGAATGAAGACCGCACCTGCCTCATGCCGGAGGCCGCGTCACCCTTTTAAGTGTTCTGCATCTGGTAGCTTCTTGGGTCCAGGGTAAAGCTCTGGTTAGTGCTGGCAGGATTAGCACACACAGCCCATGCAACAAATCTTGTATTATGAAATGGCATGAAGCAAAAACTCAGTCTTTAAGACTACATTCGCACCAGAGTGTCCGAGTGATTCCAGCTGTTCTCTGTGTGCTCTGTTCCCCAAATGCTTTTTTTTTTAATTTAAATATTCTTTCATGCAATATATTTTTTATCATGTTTTTCCCCTTCTCACAAAGGCTTTTGTTTTGTTTGAAACAGGGTCTCACTATGTAGCGCTGGCTGTTCTGGAACTCCATAGACCAGACTGGCCTCCAGTTCACAGAGATCCTCCTGCCTCTGCCTCCTGAGTGCTGGGACTAAAGGTGTGCACCAGGCCACATCGACAGGGTTGCTTTTCTTTTCATTGTTGTTTTTGGTTTTTTGAGACAGGGTTTCTCTGTGTAGTCCTGGGTGTCCTGGAACTCACTCTGTATCCCAGGCTGGCCTCTAACAGATCTCGCAGAGGTCCTCCTGAGTGCTGGCATTAAAGGCATGAGCTGCCACCACCCGTTTTTGTGTGTGTTCTTTTTGTTTTGTTTTGCCATTCATGTGTGTTCCTTTACTAAGTAGGAAAAGTAGTGAAGTTGATGCCCTCATAATGCCCATCGTCAAGTATTTGTAGTGGAAATGAAAGCTGTCCCTTGCTGTCCACATGACAACATTGTGAAACAGAACATACCCGGTGATTCTGTCCTGTCTCATTTCTAGGCACTAGGTGAACTCTGTGAAACCAAGTTTGGGAAGACACACCCTGTGTGCAGTTTGGTAAGTGTCGCCTGGTGAACCTATGCGCTGACTCTGTCACCATGCAGAGGACAAGTAGTGTCAGCTGTAGACTTCTCTTGAAAGACATTTGAATGGGGGGGTGGCATATACCCTCATGTTGTAAATCGCTGTTTTATGTGGTGTCTTCTGTGCCGACGTAGTTCCTTTGTCTGATATCCGGGGGATAAGTGCTCTACAAGAGTAGCAGGTGCTGTGGGATATGAGCAGATCCTCTGAGGAACATCACAACGGGTCTTGTAAGCTTCACTCATGAGTGTCCTGACCTCTTGTAGGCAGGTAGTGGCTTAGGGGAGTCATAGTCCTCAGGGGTCTGCCCGCTGCTGCGGGAACCTTGCTGCAGTGGTGGCACCCGCGCGTGCTCAGGCCCGCGTCTTTGCTCAGGTGCAGTGCTACACAAGAACAGACGCAGTGCTGGGGAACGAAGGGATTGGGGGAGCAGAGAAGAAAAAGGACAGTGGGGAGACACAACATTCTGAGAGAATAAAAACTGTAAAGTGCTTGTTATAAAAGTGTGGAAGTTGGAGAGCACCCACTGTCAGGGGTCAAAAAATATTAAAAGGAACCTGACTTGTACCTTGTATTTTGGGGGTGCTTGGTGGCCACAACCACCTATATAGCTGATTGCTGGGCACTCTGGGCTCCTCCCACACCATCTCCCTCAGCAGCTTGATGGGTCCCTCTGTGTTGCCTCTAGGTCGCCTCTTTGCCCCTGTGGTTGCCGAAGTCCTTAAGCCCTGGTTCTGGGCGGGAGCTGCAGAGACTCTCCTACTTAGGGGCCTTCTTTAGCTTCTCAGTCTTTGCGGAGGATGATGTGAGTACACATTTGACGCCTGTTCAGCCTTTCCCAGGTAGTCACTGTATGCTGATTGAATATTTCCCCTTTTCTTTTCAGGCAAAGGTGGTTGAGAAATACTTCTCAGGGCCCACCATTACCCTGGAGAACACCCGTGTCGTCAGCCAATCACTACAGCATTACCTGGAGGTGGGACGGGTAGGTGTTGAGAAGGGAAGGCAGAGACGAGGGCCTCTCGGGGAAGAAAGCCTGTCATGGATCAGTGCTGCCCAGGTCTCTCGCGTCACAGAGGCAGATGTTCTTCAAGAAAGATGCTCTGTGTGGAGCTCTGCTCATTGCTGTCAGCTCTTGTTGCTGCTTGGGGGCCCAGCGCCTCAAGGGTGCAGACAGGTGTCTCCCAGAGAGCCCCACTGTGACATGAGTAATGACTGATGCCCAGCTATGCCGTTTCTCTGGGACTGTCACTGAGGGCTGGAGTGATGTCTGGTGGTCATGCTGTCCCTCCATCTTGCCATAGCCATGGAAGCCATGAGGATGAGCAAAAGCTGATAGAGTGTGGGGCACCCTTTGCTGATCCCAAATACAGTTAATATGTCTCTTGTCCTAAACTGTAAACGTGAAGTGCCTTTGCGAATTGAAACCATATTGGTCATGGGACGGGAGTGACAGAGGCTGGTTTATTAAACCTGTGGCTGCCCAGCATCCTCCCCACTGCATGCTGCTGCGCTCCGTGGTCCTCCTGCTCTCTCTCACACTTCTATGTGCTGACTGTCTTGGCTTCCCTACAAGGAGAGGGAGGGTGAACGGTAGGCTAATCTCAAAGTAAAAACCAAGTCAATTGTTTTTTCTTTTCGAAAATAATTCAGCAAGAGCTTTTCAAGATTCTGCATAGTGTGTTGTTAAACGGCGAAACTCGTGAGGCAGCTCTCAGTTACATGGCGGCCATTGTCAATGCTAACATGAAGAAAGCCCAGATGCAGGTACGAGTCCCCTAATGCCTCAGGTGCTCATTGAACCTGTTTGTCTTGCTCAGACTTAGTGCAGCTCCTCCCGGGCTGAGTGCTGGGGATCAGGAAGACAGTGTGGAACAAGATAGGCAAGCCTCCCACTTGTGTGGATCCTGAGTTCCCTGGTAGGACGTAGACGTGTAAGCACAGTATTCCAGACAGCAGAAGAGTCCGAGATGGAAGCACACAGGGTTTGGGAGTGTCTGTGGAGGACCTGAAGGAAGGCACAGGAGTGAATTTGATCAGGTAGCAGGGCGGCCTCTCTGAGGTGGCATTGTGTAAAAGCCTTGACTGAGGAGCCTGTCATTACAAGGCTAGAACACACACAGTACCTATACAGTGAGTGTCTGCTGTGTCCTGTCCCTTGATGTTGTCACTCGGTGCCATCGGTAGCTCAGCACCCAAGAACCATGCAGTCAAAGGAGATCACACAGAAATTTCACCCTGTTTTATGTGAGCCTCAGTTTTATGTTGGGCCACATTCATAGCTGGCCTTAGCTGCATGTGGTCTGTAAGTTGGCCACACCTGCGTCATTTCTCCATGCCGCAGGGTCTCCATTTGGTGAATGGGGTTAGGAGTGGCCGCTGACCTGTGAGCCTTTTCTACGTAAATCATTAGAATTGTCCCTAGGGTACAGTGGCCGCTCAGCTCTAATGGCTTCTTCGTTACTCACGTGGGCCTGTCTCATTGTTTACATGACAGAACTGTCATGTGGGGGTAGGGGTGCAGCTCGTTGTGCTGATTTATGTTCCTGAGAAATATGAGAACGGAAGCTACATTTGTTCTGTTTTTGCTTTCCGGTTCTCTGACCTTAACTCCTCTAACTATGAATTGTGTTGTGCAGACAGGGGTTATCACAGAGGTCGGTGAGGACATGGTAGTGGATAGGTGGAAGCTTGCTTGCCTGGCATCTGCTAGCTGATTGACAGTGGTCACATTGGTCCCATCTTCTTTCATAGAAATCTGTACTTAACAATTTTTTGTTTTGTACTTAACAGTCGTTTGAATTGCTTTCACCTTCTGTCCCAGGCAGATGATCGGTTGGTGTCCACAGATGGCTTTATGCTGAATCTCCTTTGGGTCCTGCAGCAGCTAAGTACAAAGATCAAGTTAGAAACAGTCGACCCCACTTACATATTCCACCCGAAATGTCGGATTACTCTCCCGAACGATGAGACACGGATAAATGCAACGATGGAGGATGTGAATGAGTGGCTGGCCGAGCTCTGTGAGTCACGTGTTCATGGCTGGGTCACTTGTCTTTCATCTGCATGGCTCTGGGAGATAGAGATGCATAGTTAAAATTAGCATAGTAAAATTTCTTCCTTGAATACTGAACACAGATAGACACATAGAGCAGATGGGCAGGAAAGAGAAGACTCAATAACAGCAACTGTATTACAGATCCTGTGTTGCATTGTGGCAGTTGAAGATATGGCTGTTATAAGGTGTAATGATAAATATCTTGCTTCTTGGTAGTGTAAAATATATTTGTAATTACAAAAATCAAAACCCTTTTTTTTTAATATTTTAAAATTATGTGTGGAATAAGATGAATTCCTATTTGCCTGGAAAGGAAAATGCCATGATCAAATGTACACCTTCTAGGAAAGTCATCACCTGGTGCTCAGTCTTACTTAGTACATACCTGTAACCCCAGCACTCAGGAGGAAGGTGGGAGAATCACGAGTTCAAGGCCAGTGTGGGATACATAGCAAAATCCTACCTTACAAGAACAAGAAAAGAAAGAAATAGATGTTGTTTAATAAATTCATTTCCTCAACCTAAATGAATTCTGGGAATATTATAAAATTTTAATACTGTTGAAGGGAAAAGGGGGGCACACAGAGGATGGTGATAGAGCAGCAGTGGACGTGGGAGGGGGCACACAGGATGGTGGTAGGGCAGCAGTGGACGGGGGAGGGG